GGTTTGTGTCTCTCCATGCCGCGGCCTCGTAGTTTTGGCCCAATCAAATGCACTTATTTGGTCTCCAGGGAGAGACAGCGTCCTCGGAGATTAAATTGGTGCAGTCTAACGGTTTTCTGGTCTGAAGTGTAAAGTGGTACCGCGCATAACGGCGCCATTACAGCAGGTGCTCTCTGCGTCAGACCTGCCCTCCCTCTGCTTGCAGCTAAATATTCCCTGCGCCATGCCAGAGGCGCATGGCCCGGCATGACTTCTTTCAACCATGTCTGTTTTATAAAATCGCTTTTGCCTTGACAGCACTTCATAAGGCAGACCAGCCTGTTTGCATAGTCGAGACTATAATGTTTTGTTTCATATCCACATCATTCGGTGTGTAATTTCTACTCAGCTGTGCGTAAAATATAACCCATACCGTATCCAAATTAGGTCAAGGCCTGTTGCCACATTTAAAGCGAAGTGGAAAAGGAAAAGGGCAATTACAGCAGACAGCTCAGCAAACACTGGTGACAAATGCCTCGATTAGTAAACAAACAAGAGTAAGCCTAGGTGACCCTTAACGCTGAATGCACCTGTGTGGTCGACACTGTGTCAGCAGGCTGAGATGCCACGCGTAATGGATTAGCAGAGGAAGACCCTCAATTGACCAGGCTGTGTTGGCAGAGGTCAGTTACAAATAGTGAAGCAATGGGAAGTGAGGATGTGGATAAACTGACCTCCAGACACACAGCTGCAATAAAAGCCACTAAAATCCCTCATACTGAAAAGTATTTATTTCTGCTATTATCCCTTTGGAGAGCCTTCATTTAGATCTATGCCAGTTTGAAAGAACTGGCTCCTGTTGAATACTATTCATCAAACTTACAGAGCAGTCATTTGAGTTTAGCAGAATATGACCACTTATTTCAGATAAAGTTGCCAATATTAAACTGTAGGTGGTGCATTTTGCATAATTCATGTGATCATGTCATCCTGTCTCTTTCACTTATTTCATATGACTGGGCTTGTGGTTTTTCATCATACATCAACTGGGTTTGAATCATGGTGTGATATTTTATCATCCATTCAGAGACAAACACAATTTCATTTTCTAATCATTTATTTTATAATTTAAACAAATCAAAAAAAAATACAGCACATTTCCCAGGTCCTTCATTAAAGAGGTTGCAACAGTAACATCTTGTAAACTTGCAGCAAGTCAGTGCATACACAGTAAATAAAGACTTTGATTTAGAATTAATTGAAATAAACAGAATATATTAATATACTTCATTGATGAACAATAACCTACTTTCAATAGAAAATAAATAAAACTATTGTGCTAAGCTGTAAAACACTCAGTGACCGCAATCAGCTGAGTGTCTATGAGGTATACATGAGGTTTGCATAAACAGAACATCACCTTTAAATAACCCCAAGAATCAACCCCCCCACCCCACCCCCAGAGTGGAGGGCAATTTGGCATTTTGCTAAAATCTGAATGGTGGCACATTCATAGCCACATGGTTGACATCACTTCCAATGTCTCCTGATTTAATGACACCAACAGCTTCAGATTGTCTTTACATTCTTGGACCAGATTGTGGTTGTAGCTGCCATGACTCACAGACAGGAGGTGGCTCTTCGCTGCCAAAGAGTCCACCTCAGTGCTCTCAGATGGTTGGACACATAGTTCATCCACCATCCGCTGGTCGTCCTGTGACTGGATGGGTACATGCTCAACAAGCCCTTCTTCAGTTTCCAGTAACTCACTGGCAAGCCTCAGTGCACAGCGAGCAGTCAGAGATGGTGGGTATTTGTTGAAAGCATAGTCTGCCAGACTCAGCTCACACACCTTTCGTGCGAGGTTGCTGCACTGCCCGGATCTTTTTGTGTCTGGATTCATAACTGCAAACCTGCCACCACCTGTGTTCTCAGTCTCAAGCTGCGCAGCCTCACTGCAGTTAGTGTAATAGTCCAGGAAAAACGCAAGGGTGGGTGCAGCGAGGCGGAAGTTGAGACGCAGGAGGATGAGACACTCCAGGTTGCAGAGCTGCTCCTTGTTGAAGGCATCGCAGCACAATGACAAGAGATGGCTGATCCGCGGCGAGCAAACCTCCACCTGGGTGACACAGAGAAAGGGAATGAGTTCAATGAAATCCCAAAGACACAATCTGTTCCTCGAGCACTGTTACTCAAAGATGCACCTGTTTACTGGCCAGCAGGAGCGCAGTTACACCCAGTAGCTGGAAGCAGTCGGCAGCTACCGGTGTGGATGCCATAAACCTGTCCATGATGTTCACTGCCAGGCAGCAACACTCAAAGGACAGACGGAAATGTTTGTGCACAGGGATGAGCCAGCTGATGAGCTTACACCGTGCCTCTGCAGTCAGCTGTAAGGAAAACAAAGACTGCATTAGTATAAGCAGCAGATACCTGGTAATAGAGGAAAAAAGATGGCATGTAATTGTCCTCTGTAGGCACATATAGAAATATGAAACATTTTGTGTAGCCTGCTATTGCATTTTTTTTTTTTATTTCCAAGTCATTTTATTGAAAACATGCAGATATACTGAGATAGTGAAAACCATATGATTAGATTCAAAAGGTCATACTGGTGCCACAATAAATCATTAAACTATAAACTGTACCAGAAAATCTAACTATTCTGAAATATTGGCTGTGTCTTGAAGCACCAGCAGGCAATTTTACCTATAGGCTACTTGTCAATGCTAATATTTTTAGATTTCAGATGCTGCTTTCTTAAGTTGTGTAAAATTTGAAAAGCATTTTTGGTCGACAGTGTGTTAAAAATGAGCAGATAAGTGACCCAATTCATATGAAAATAGTTACACATATTGTGTATTTCCAGGAAGTTGGGTTTTGTTTCAAAAGTGTGTGCATGGGTGTAGATTTCAGGGGGGAATGCAGGGGACATGTCCCCTCAAAATGAATGAGGAACACGTGCCTTTGTCCTCCCCACTAAAAACAAATTAGCAGAGGATTTTTATTTTCACAAAAATACATTAAAACCACAAATAGATGCAGAAACATATCTCTATTCTGTGGTTGCCATTTAGTCCATCTGGCTACACTGAACCTGACTTAACACTGCATTAAGTGTCTTACTTGTGGCTGTCGGGCCAAGCTTTTGCAGGGATGAAACTGCGCCTCTTTCTCCCTCTGGATCTTGAACCCGATGTCACCGTACTGCAGGTACCAGCTGGAGAGCTGTCCTGCAGGAAGCTCGTCTGACCGGAGCGGGGACGCATCTAACCGAGCCGAGGATGAAATCGGGGAGGATCCCAAGTCTTCCTCAAAACCAGAGTCACTCAACTTGGACATGAGTGTCTGCTTCCTGTGCCGGGCAGTCTGCCGCTGCTGGGCCGGTGTGCGCGCTTCTGTTGGAGGAGATGCGCCGGTTGTCCGTCTCCGTTTGTAAACAGTCTCGGTGCCACATTCACCGGTCACAAATGACACCATCTCCGGTATCTCTCCCTGGAGCCTGGACTGGCTGTGTATTACTGAAGCCAGGTGCTTCACAGCAGCAGCAGCAGCAGCAGCAGTCTCCTGGATGGTGAGGAGGGGAGTTCCGTCTGGTTGGGCCCACGTCAGTTTTCCCGGGGTCGTCCCCGCTCCTACAGCGCACCTTTCTCCCGTTGCCCCGGCAACCGAGGCCAAACAATTACTTGTCCCAAGTAGGAATTAATTATCCGAAACCTTGAACCATATGTCAGGCTAAATTTTGCTGCCTATTGTTTCGCTAAAGAAAATAATAAATCGTTACAAAAAGAATGTGCCTGAAAAGCTTTACATGTGAAAAGTAGCCTGGAAACACTAATTTCAATCTGCTTTACATCCACAAAACACACAGGCCTGTATATGTGAATGTGTGAATTCGTCAAGTGTTGTTTTAGCCTATTGCATGTAAAGCTGCTGTTTGCTTTCACAATAAAATAACTGAAAACCACATGTGCCTAATGTGACTGTAACTGCATCTAAAAAATGTTAAATGGTGTTCAAAGTGATGTATTTAAATGCATTATTATTTTATCTTATTTTTATTTAATTAACCCACATTTAACCAGTTAGGTCCCGTTGAGATCAGCACACAAAAATTTGCAGCCAAACAACCACACAATAAATCAAAAACCCCCATAAAAGATACACGGTAACATGTAGAAGTATTAGAGCACTTATATGCACAATGACAAGACCCAACCGACTCATTCATCTTGTACTTAGGAGAGCTTTAAAATCAGGCAGAGACACCAATTCATGTAGTTTCAAATCTTTTTGAAGATTAAGTGTGAGGAGCAGCCAGCTCAGTCAAAACAAAATTAAACCTTGAGATCTCAGACTGTAGCTACAGTCGGATCTCTGTTCAAAGTACAAATGTATGAAGGGAGTTTACCCAGTATGGCTTTATGAATGGGCAAATACCAGTGACTGAGCACAGGAAAGGTCAAACAAGGAAGAGAGGTCACAAATCTCAGTGCACTATGATATGCAGTATCTAGCATGTGCATACGATGAGCAGTTCATGTACAACAAATCACCATAATCCAGCAACCAGTCTTTTCCTGGCCTCAAAGGAGAAACAGGACTTGTTTCTGAAATAAAACCCAAACTTTATTTTTTTGTGAGGTGAGGGCGTCCCCTGTTATTTTTCTACTATAATATATTATAAGCATTATTGTTATAATCATTATCATCATGCAATGTCAATGAAGGTTGCAAAACAGTGGGGTAAAATAGCTGAGCTGGGTGTAGGCTGAGGTTATGTCACCCTTTATCCATAACAATGACATAACTTCATCTCCAGTTTTAGTTTTGCAAGTTTTCTCAACTGACTTTAAACGCAGCATAGATGCAGCTCACAGTGATGTATCATGTTTAGCACTATATTATATTTTATACAGTTAAAATCTGTGTAACATTAATAACCAGAGGGACCTGTCCTGACTTTGCGGTGGGCGGAACTTAAACGCTGACGACTACAAAACAGACAGCCCGTACGTCATCTTTCAAACTCCAGTGCGAGACGAGCGATCATGCCAAGTCAGACCTGAACAAGGCTCCAAGAATGCCCTCTGCACCCCTACTGAAGGTATTTCAATGACTCTGCTCTTCTTTGTGGATAATTATCAATGACATTTCACTGCTGGCTGTTAAGCTGCAGCTGCAGGTTGAGCCGCGTCACAAAAACTATGAAATAAACAGTAACGCTAGCTGTTGCTAGCTGGTTAGCTAGCTGTTATGTGTCCTCGCTAAGCTAACAGAAACGTTAGCTGGTTGGGCTATATGTGGTAAGTTAGCTAACAAATTAGAAGGCTAACACGGTTATGTTGACGGTGTGTCGGCTGCGTGTGTGGCAAAGTTAAACGTAGTTAACTCGGAAGAGGAGGAGGTAACGATACAGGCAGAGGAGACTGCATTAGCTAGGAAGCTAGCTAACGCTAACAGCATGCAATAACAAGCTCTTAAAGTCAGCGAACGTTGGGTTGGTTCGCTAACGTTACAGTTAGCCAGGTAACTTGAGTCGTTGGGTACCGTTACATTTGTGTAAACAGTCTCCTCAATTAACCTCGCGGTGATGCCTTTATTAGTTAGTGATATGTTTGGTAACACGAGTAGCGCCAGTGTTAACCTCAGCTTTTCCACTGAGCTCAGATTTTCGGTTAAGTAACGTTACTGTCGAAGTTGACAGCTAATAAAAGTCTGTTAACGGTTAACCGGAGTTAAGGCAGACAACAGTGTTGGAGAGGGCGAAAATGGCACAATAATCGCCAGATCTCTGTATGCTCAACTCACACATTGAGTTCACACTGTAGCTGTGTTTTATTCAGCTGCAAAGTTGTGCAACAGTCTGGTCTAAATTACATGATGAGCAGTTGCAGCCAAGAAAAGCTTCTGTACAAAGAAATGGAAAAAGGAAACACAAATGGCATACTGCTTCTCCAAAGTAAGGCCAGCTAACAAAGTAAAGCATTTAATAGACAATTCTGTTGACATACATTGTGTCCAGGATGTTTAGATTGCGCAAGGACTATTTTCATATTAACTGGTCGTTTCATCCTGCAGTTACAACACAAGTGAACCATGGAAAATTCAGGCAGGTCATACCGGGCGAGGCAAGGTGGCTGGGAGAGGGGAGCGGGAGCAGACAGGGCAGAAAGCTGGAGGATCCAGGACCAGGGCAGAGGACAGAACTACAGATCAGAGGGAGGTCAGCAGGGCAAGAACCAGGGAGGACCCTACCGAGCCAGTCCCAAGAAGGGAGGGCTGGGGCCTCTGAGCTACTCCCCTGGTGGATTCAGAGGTGGACACAGCCCCTCGCAAAAGGATGACCTGCGGTGGTTCTCGGGTCCTGAGAACATTGGTGGGAGTCGAGAAGATAACTGGAGAGACCGCTTGCAGCCGCAGCAGCATTGGAGGAGGAGTACCCAGGGAGAAAGTCCAAGGGAGGACAGGGAGCAGGGGAGGAGAGAGGACAGTGATGGCGGTGCTCATAAATCAGGTGAGAATTGGGAAATCAGACTCTGGGAAAAGGGATGAACACTTTTAAGATTAGCCCCTTATAATAGAAAAAAGGCAGTCTGCCTAATGCAGCGGTCTCAATGGACATCTTTAAAAAGCTGATGTACTTACTTGATTCTTGCACTCTTGGGGTTGTGCCCACATAGTTGTGTGCACTTATCACACTTATTATCAGTCGCTTTGGACAAAAGAGTCAACTAAATAATTGTAATGTAAAAACAGGAGACACTTGTACACATGTACTCTGTTAAAATCTATCGTGAATCGGACCGTAAGAACTGCCTGTACTCCATCGCCCACGACATAAACACATCACTGATTAACTTTCTCCTCTAAAACACATTCAACACATTTTTGACACCTGTATTTCTTCTCTCCAAAGGGAGGAGACGGAGACACAGGAACAAGAATAAAGCTTATGCTGAAGAGAACAGGGGCCCTGTGATTGAAGAGTCCACACTCTCAGCCAAAGAGCTGCGCAGCCTACGGCAAGCAGAGAGGCGGCTTAACAGAGATGAGATCTACAGCACGAAGAGGGTACAGGCTCCCATTGTGGTAGCCCAAATTGTCTATATATGCTTTAGAACTGCAGAGTAATCAAACATGAAAATAGTTGCACCCCTAATTTGCTTTGATGAATCTTTTAGGTCAGTTTGCCCTCATAAGACATTCTTTCTCTAATTAGAGTTGTTTCAGTGATGCAGTGTTTGATGTTTATGAGGTATAGTTGAGGCAAGAACAAGACGGTATAATTATCGCAGCTTTTGTGTGATGTCTGATGTACTTTCCTCCTTTTTGAAACGGGTTCAGAAGTCCCACAACAACACCGGTGCACCTTACACCTGCACTCTGTGTGATGTTCTGCTGGAGTCTGTGTCTGACGCTTACAGACATATCAGAGACAAGCGGCACAAGAAGAGAGCCAGGGTGAGAAATGATCGCATTATGCAACTCATTATTTGTGATTACTCTAAACTTTTGTAGACAGATGATGCTATCATACTGTCACTGTGAAGTTTTTAATGTATTAAAAACTGATTTATTTACTTGTTTGTGTTTATAGGAGAGGCAAGAGCAGGTGATGCTGACTGAGATTCTGCCTCCTGGTCCGGAGCAGATCAGTGCAGTGACTGCAGCACTGGAGGCTGTTGTTCGGGATCATGGCTTGAATGACCAGGATGTTGAGACGAGACAAAATGTTGTCTCTATGATGCAAGATCTCCTTCTGTCCGTCCTGCCTGGTAAGTCACCCAGGGACATTTAGGAACAGAGACATGGTGATACTTCTTTGAAGCAAACGGGCTGTTGGCTCTGTTAATGTTAATAACATTATTTCCTCCCTCTTTCTCTTACTTGTAGAGATCAACCTCAGGCTTTATGGATCATCTTGCACTAAGTTTGGATTTAAGGATTCTGATGTCAACATTGACATTCAGTATCCACCTCACGTGAGTAGCCCAGTGTGAGTTCGATAGTGTGAATACTGTATTTTTTGTTTTGTTTGTTTTTAATTGGGTGTTGTCACATTTTTCAAAAACGCTCCCACAACTCTCAGGAAAAGATACAGCTTTTATTAGTCCAGTTTGATAAGACATTTGAGGTTCAGCATAGTTAATATTAGTGTTAGATATTCAATCACATCATATGTGTGGCAATCTAGAGAAAGCAGTAGAGGAAGGGAAAGTTGTGCTATTGTTGTTGGCGTTTTTTAATCATCTTTGAAGGTTACTGTTTTGTGGAAGTCGTGTTTTGTGAGACATGCCACATTCATGTCTTTTTTTTTTTTATATTGTATTTATGTTGTATAAAGGTTTTGAAATGGAATGTATTCACAGATGCATCAGCCCGACGTCTTGTTGTTGGTCAAGGAGAGCCTCTCTGTGAGCCGTGAGTCACCTCTTATTCATCTAATCGCAAGACTTTCCTTTGTTTTTTAAAAAAAAAAAAAAAAAAAAAAGCCACCATAGGAAACTTAATGTGCTAGACTGTCATGGAAGTTTTAAATGTAACTTGTCTTGTTGTGTTCTCAGCTCTCTTTGTTGATATGGAAGCGGATTTTCACGCCAGGGTGCCTGTGGTCATCTGCAAAGAGAAAAAGAGGTGGGCGTTTTTCAGTCGCTGGATTATTTATTTGTCTGATTTTAATTAATCAGACTCTATATTTATAGAAACTCTGGAGTCATTGATCATTAAGCAATTATGAAACAGCCAGAGTGTTTTTTTTTTTTAAAGAGAGAAAAAGGCCATTGTTCACATCAAGGTTACATTTCCAAACGCACTAAGAGCAGTAAATAGAAACTGAAACTATTTTTCTTAACAGTGGCCTGATCTGCAAAGTGAGCGCAGGGAATGAAAACGCATTCCAGACCACCTCCTATCTTTCTGCTCTGTCCAGTCGGGAGCATCTCCTCCTCCCACTGGTTTTGGGCCTCAGACGCTGGGCCCAGGTATGTGTCCAGTTGAGACCCTGACCTGTTGCTTACATTAGACAGGCAACCAGTAAAAGCTGCTCATGCTTACATTGATTGTGTAAAACATCACATTTAATTCTCGTGTTTCTGCTTCTGGTTTAGATCTGTGAGATCGACCGTGCAGAGGAGGGTGGGCTGCCACCGTACGTCTTTGCCCTCATGGTTATCTACTTCTTACAGCAGCGCAAAGAGCCCCTCTTGCCTACCTACCTGAAACAAGAGGTGTGTGTTTCTTGTCAGCTTGAGCCTGAAAGAAAATACAGAGAATTAATTTCAGTATTTGTCATTTGTTTTCAACAGAAACTAATCTAATCATCTGATCTGTTTTCAGATTAAGGTGTTTTCACTCAGCAGGCTGTCAGACTTCAATCTCACACATACAGAGGATGGACATGTACACTGGGCTTACACTCCTTCCTCCAAAGAACAGCCAACAGATGGCATAAAGGGAAAGGTAATCACAAAGACACTAATGTGTTTTTTTTGTCTGAGAGGAGTGTGTTGGTTCTTTGTTTTTTGGAAGTTTGTTATGTTTATATATAGTTTTTATGATGCATTTAATTAAGTTCATCTAAGCTTTTCATCTAATATCACAATTAGCCTCAGAGGGTTTGACAGCATATGACATCCCTCTATCCTTGGACCCTCACAGTGGATAAAGGAAAAACTCCCCAAAAAACCCTTTTAATGGGAAAAAAATGTGCTGTGAATGTGCTGTTTGTAGATCTTTCTTTATCCATCACAGTAACCGAAAAAAGAACCTACAGAGACCTGTTACCCTTCTGGTACTATAGGTGATAATCTTAGTGAACAGATTATTTTTGTCAAAGTAAAGTTAATATATAGATGTCATGTTTTATCCCTCAAACTACATTGGGAGGCAACCGAAGCCCAAAAATTAGTTCCTGAAGAAGAGATTGATTGTCTTTATGTTTACAGGTGCAGTCAGCAATTCTAATCCAATACACTTCTCAAATTCATTGTTCAATCCGGTCAAGTATCTTTTCACGGTCTGATAGCTATCCGTCCTGTTTATGCGCTGAAGAAAAAACTGTGTTCATAAACAGCCCTGGCTCTGTAAATGGGAAAGTAAGAAAACTGCTCGGACTGAGCTGCACAACACTACACCGGCTACTCTCCCGCTTTATATCCTCACCCATGTGGAATGGAGCTACACCGTGATAGCAATAAAACAACTAACATCAGCGATATTACCTTGTCAACTTGAAACTGAAATATCTTACTTGCTGAAAAAAAAAGAAAAATATATCAGCAATCTTTCTCCAGAATTGCTGACTCACCCTTTTAATTAGGGAAAAGAAAAGTGAAACATGCTTTTGATCCTGAAAGTTTATGTTGTCTAATGTGTTCCCTGTAGGTACCGCTGGTGTTTCAGAGCCCTCACCCGCCCGTGGAAGTCGGGCTTCTCTGGGTGGAAATGCTTCGCTTCTACTCGCTGGAGTTCAACTTGGCTGACAATGTAATCAGCGTGCGGACCAGTGCTGTCCTCTCCCGAGAGATGAAAGACTGGCCAAAGAAACGCATCGCTGTGGAGGGTCAGAAGCTTTCTCGTTTTAAAGCTTGAATTTGAAGGTTTTACTTTTGGGTACTGGGAAAGTCACTCATGGACCTTTGCGGATTCCTAGGTTGAAATAAACAAGCAGCAAAGAAATGAAATGCCACTTTTGTAATTCAGTGTTTGCAGTTTAGTTCTGTCGCAGCCATTAATGAAATGTTAATACTGACAAATGCTACCTGACACTAGATTTGCTAATGAGTATATTCGCTTGTTAAATGATGAACGTCATCTTCTTCTCTGTTGATTACAAATTAAGACCTCTTACATGTTTTAACTGTAACTAATATCTGTGTGTCTGTGTTCAGACCCCTTTGCTGTGAAGAGAAATGTGGCCCGCACAGTCAACAGCCAGCAAATGTACGAATACATCCTCCACTGCCTCAAAACTACATACAAGTACTTTGCACTGCCAGTCAACACGCCAACTGCTAATCACAAGACGAAGGCCCAGCGTGGACCCACTCAAGGAGCAAACGCCGAGGCTTTGTGTGAAGACATTGCTTGCTTAGCAGATTTCAGTCAGCTCAGCATTCAGTCACAGCATGCAAGTCAACCTAAAGTTGTAGAAAACGGTCCTGAAGACTCTGATTGCATTATTGAGGAAGAGGAGGAGGTTGAAGAATACAGTGACTCAGACGAAGAGCGAGAGAAGGAAAAAGTGGACCCGGGCAAAAGCAGTCTGTCTGAGGATGAGGAGGACGAGGACATTGATGTGGATACACATAACAGACAACACTTGGACAGCTTCACCACAGAGGATGAGGAGATTTTCCCAGTGGACGAGATCTCAGGGGAGGAGCTTTTGTCTGATGAGGAGGGTCCAGATTTGGACACACCTGCTTCAATGGATGAGGAAGAGGAGGAAGAGTTGGAGCTGGCGCCTGTGAGTCTGTCACCTCCACATTGTGAGGATACAATTAAGGATGAGAGTCCAGAAAATAAAACCCAACCACAGAAGATTCGTTCTTATGAGTTCACCAAGCAAGCTTTCACCAGAGGCAAGGTGAGTGTCGCCTCATGTGAGTGTCTCTTTACATGCAGTTTGTCTTAATGTGTAAGTCAACAAATGACAAATGTAAAACTTAAGTGAACATTTTAAATCAGTTTTGCGTCTTTGATCATTTGGGTCGTAGGTGACTGGAAGTTAAACATGTAACGTGGCAAATAAGCTTGTGGACGTCATCTAAATTAAACTACTTTCAATCTGTCTCAGTCACACATGGTGGTGTGCAGCTTGTGCAAACGCGATGGACATCTGAAGAAAGACTGTCCGGAAGATTTCAAGAAAGTAGAGCTAGATCCTTTGCCCCCGATGACGCCAGAGTTTCTCAATGTCCTAAACAAAGTCTGTGAGCAGTGCTACAGTGAGTATCATGAAATTCCATAAATAAGTTTAGTTTTTTTCATGTTACATAAACATATTTCATGAAGAGTGAGGCTTATGCAAGAATGTTTTGTTTTTTGTTTTTTTTTTGAAAATTTGAGTGCTCTGAGTCGGATTCAGCAAACTAACTGCACAGCCTTGTTGTAAATTGCTCGTTTTCACTTATTGAAGGCCACCTGTTCATGAGTAGGTGTGCACTGTGAGATCCAATCATAGCATAAACAACATTGTTAATGTCCCAAGTGCTGTCAGTGATGATGTAGAAAGTGGGACCGCAATAGGGCCGTTTCTTAGTTGAGGCCTTGAACCACACGCTTGGAATGATTTCTTTATTGCTGCCACATATTGAGGGTGTGCAAGGTGGTAGATGAGTGTGGTTCTGAGACAAATAAAGAATATACAGCATGTTGTTGTACTCACGCAATGGACTGCTCACCAACAAAATCCAGCTACTGAAGTCCCAAAGTCAAGCTATCCATGGTGACTTTTCTCTGCCTGCTGCTGACACTCTCTTAATTGAAAATAAACAGAGCTGCACCATGTGGCATCGCCTTAGCTGCACATGGCTGATGGGACAAACAATCAACGAAACAACCAATCATGGCCACAGAACCCAACCAAAGTCCTGTAGTCTGGGGCCGTTAGTGGCCGTTTTGGTAAGGAACCGGAACCAGGGCGAGTGAGACAGGATCCGGAATTCGATGGATGCGCCTTTCCGTCAAAATAAAAGCACCAAGCTAATAAAAATGCGGTGAAACTTTAATTTAAAGAATATAATTTACAAGAAAAGCCCCAAGCCATAAGTTAACCCCTCATCACCCCAAATCGATGGTGCGCCAGAATTTAAAGTTTTACTTTGGTGAACACTTTTACTTTGGTGAATTTGGTGAATTCCGCATCCGCCTTCTAGACCGGAACCAGAATCCAGACAAAATTCAGAGTGAATAGAAACCAGGCTCTTCACTTTATGTGAAGAGCCTGGTTTTGTGAGGCTAAAGTCCTGCCTTCTTTTTCAGTTGCCTTTTTTTCTATATAAGACTGAAAATGTTTCTAAAGAGTAAAAAAAAGACATACAAAACTTCTCTTGCTGTCAAAAATATGCAAAAGAAATCAGCTGTCACTGGTGTGTCATCTGAGCGGAGCAGCAAATAAAGAGATGATTTGACCTGAGTTTAGATGGCAAAAACAAAACCACAAAGCAGTTCATGACATAGACTGAGATCTGACGAGTCTGTTTCCTTTTTAGCTGACTTTGCGCCAGACGAACTGGAAGTGGGTGTAAGAGAACACATCCTTCAGGACCTGGAGACCTTTGTCAGACGACAGTTTGCTGGTGAAGTAAACCACCATCTTCACTGTTTAGCACCGTTTCATTTTTCAAACTTGAACTAGCATGATATTGCATTGATTTGACTTGGCCATGTTAGAATGCAAATTTATGGTGAAATTAACAGATCGTGTCTTTTTGCTGGACAGGAGCTCGACTACAGCTGTTTGGATCATCAAAAAATGGCTTTGGCTTCAGACAGAGTGACCTAGACATCTGTATGGTGCTGGAGGGGCAGGACACCATGGATGTAACTTATCATTTGAACTTTTACTGCATCGTACTGATATTTCATTTTCATTTAAACTCAGCATTTTGGTAATTTGGTGCGTGGTGTTTCTGCCACAGTCATTGTAGTTTAGATTAAATTAAATTAAATTATGAGGTATTTGTAGCTATTGATAATACTGACTTGTCATTGAGATTTATTTTGATCTCTAACCCATACATTTCTAACTTGGGTCATGAATTTCTTCCCCAGGATTTAGACTGCATCACTATTATTGAAAGCTTGGCGAGGCTGCTGAAGAAGCACCAGGGTCAGTAATAAGTCAAGGCACTTTTATTTATTTAAGATCACAATCTGTGCTGCAAACGACACTCTCTACCTCCCAGAAGGGGGTGACATTTGGTCAGATACCGTTTGGTGACACTAATCTTGAAACTGTGGTGATTGTGAAGGTCTTCAGTGGTGCTGGCGGGGAAGATATGTGTAATCACAGACATGGATGTAAACTGGAATTGCAACTTAACTAGTTCGCACAGGTGTATAACTGCAAGGCTTTAATTCTAGTTTTGTGATGTTGTCTTTTCCTGTTTATACTTGATATACGAAATGTTTTATTTTGTTGCCCATTTTAACCAGGACTCCCTGGCAGAAGAGATATTGTATGTCAGTGGGACCTTTTTGGTTTAATAAAGGATAAATAAAGTAAAATAATTAATCGCAAGTAAAATACAGAGTAAGAATTTTTGAAACACAAAATGTCAATGCATCTGGTTAATCTGTTCACACATCTGCACCCTGTCGACAGGTCTGAAGAACATCCTGCCCATCACAACAGCAAAAGTACCGATCGTGAAGTTCTACCATATTCGCACTGGCCTGGAAGGAGACATTAGCCTGTACAACACTCTGGTAGGGCCTTCTGTTTCATTAAATCTCATATTTGCTATTGAATAACTTATATTGTCATGCCTTAAGACAAACATTTTTCTTTTCAGGCCCTGCACAACACACATCTGCTAGCTTCGTATGCTGCCATTGACAGGAGAGTGAAGATCCTCTGTTACGTCATGAAGGTTTTTGCCAAGGTCAGTGTGCTTTACACACTCAAGGTGTCTTAGTGTGTCTCCAGTGTCATATAATATTATTATAATGTTTATTGTATTACATTATATTTATTTTTGTCCAATTATAGATGTGTGACATTGGGGACGCTTCACGTGGCAGCCTCTCATCCTACGCTTACACCCTTATGGTGCTATACTTTCTCCAGCAGAGAGACCCGCCAGTTATCCCTGTGTTGCAAGAGGTACAGATAATATTTTGTTCAAGATTCAAACTTTGTTTCAGTATGAAACCAACCCAGAAACTATATTTTATTGTAAATTCTAAATTTGCCAAGAATCTGCAAATGTTCAACTTCACACAACTGTTGTTTGTTGCAGATACATGATGGAAAGAAGAAGCCGGAGGTGCTAGTCGATGGCTGGAACGTATACTTTTTTGACGATTTAAAAGCACTTGTGAGTATTTTGTATTTTGACATATTCTGTCTGGGTGCCCCTGTGAACAGTTAAGCGAAGACGCATGTCAGACCATGTCTTAAGCCTTGTTTCCACTGAGTACTGTTCAGTTCAGATCGGTATGCTTTTTTCTGTTTCCACTGTGAAAAGTTGTGGATGGTACCAATGGACCAGTTCTGTACCGTCCCCATTTTTGGTCCCACCTCTGTTGGAGTACCTAGCGCACAGATCTGGTACTAAAAGGTGGAGCTGTGAACACTGCAGCCTGTTGATTGACCAATAGCAGATGTGCACTCTGCTCAGGGCTGAGTTATGGCTGGTTTTGAGGCTCACTTACCCACTGTTCATAGTTCGGAGTGTCGTTCCTGTAGACTCCGGCAACACTAAACCCCTGAGCTTGCCTTAGAAGGACTAAACGCACAAACCTGCTATGTTTTTTTAGATATCTCATGTAGAGAGACTCTCACTGCAGCCTGTTTTATTTTGCTCTGATAATGCCACCCTGCTTCTGTGGATGATAAACGAGGTGCAGACTTCCATCTGTGTCACGGGTAATGAAGAAATACATTTAGTGCTGGACGGAGCAGTGAGTGACAACAACACTAGGGTCTAGGCACCATGTCTGAAGGGTTACTTTTGGTTCCAAAGGTACCATACCGAAAGCGTGCGGTGGAAACGGGGTTTTGATAACACGTGGATATTCCCTTCTTCTACCTGCAGCCCAGTCGATTGCCACAGTTTGGGAAGAACACAGAGACGGTGGGGGAGCTGTGGCTCGGCCTTCTCCGCTTTTATACCGAAGAATTCGACTTCAGAGAGCATGTTGTCTGTATCCGTCTGCACAACCGCCTCACCACATTCAACAAGCAGTGGACGTCCAAATACATTGTCATTGAAGGTCAGCTTGTGTGACAAACTCAGGGTCCAGACTCCTACAATAAATGAATAACAGAAAATACAGAAGCATAAGTATTGTTCCACTAGGTAGATGCAGCAGATGGTTATTTATCAAACAACACTTTGGGAATCCCTATTACATGCTCCATTCAGTTCATTAAATTCACATCAGTGTTAATGACTAGTACTGTAAGATTGTTTTCTGAATCAAATTGACTGTGTGGCTGCTCTGAGATATTTTTCATTGTTAATTTGTGCTGCTTTCTTTAATCTGTTTATATTCCAGATCCATTTGACCTGAATCATAATCTCGGTGCTGGTCTGTCCAGGAAAAGTATGATTATTATTTTATTATCTGCCTGTTTGTATCTTCGGCTGTCTCGTTGCCTTTGTTCCTGGTGTCTTTTCTAATTTATTTTCTTGTCCTTTTTTTGTCATTAAAACAGTGACCAACTTCATCATGAAGGCTTTCATCAATGGCAGAAAAGTATTTGGAACACCAGTCAAAATCTTCCCTCCCGTGTACCCCAGTCTGATGGTTAGTGTTCGCTCTCTAAACATAACATTTCCTTACTGAAGTGGCATTATAGAAGCATTCAAATCATAAATTGTCTTTATCTGTCTCAGGAATATTTCTTTGATCCCGAAGTCCTTACTGAGGGAGAGGTGGCTCCTAACGATCGCTGCTGCCGCATCTGTGGCAAGATCGGCCACTTCATGAAAGACTGCCCCATGCGTAAGAAGTGGGTATAATCACAAAGCATATCTGAATTTGTCGCAGTGTTTATAATTGTTTATCTGCACCATGTGTGGAGCTACATATTGTGGATTATATTTTTGGCCCAGGTCCAAACACAGACGGGACTCGGAGAGAAGGCCGGAGCACCTGCGAGACAAAATGGATGCAGCAGAGGATCAGGTCAGACACAAGAGCGAGCACTGGAGGAAAAGAGATGCACTGGAGGTGCGCTGCTGCTACCTGTGTGGGTCAAGTGCCCACATCAAGAAGGACTGCCAGCTGTACAGAAACCCTGCAGGTTCACACCAAGTTTATTATTTTATTTTAAGTTTCCTTTACTTTCTTATGCATGAAAATATAAAATACAAGATTATGCATTGATATAATTCATAAAGATTCAAAGAAAGTGACTGACTTCTTGCTCCATTTTATTTGTCATTTGCTAGGTAATGTGAAGATGGAGGGCTTTTCTTCTCCCTCTTCAGTCCACTTGAGGAATTTGAGAGAAAAGGAGAGACAGGTATGATCTTGTGACAGCCAATGAAAAATATTACTGACACTTTGGTAGACGGCTTATGTACACTGCTACACTGTTTATCTCCCTTTTTTAGGGTTCACCAATACAAGAAGAAAAGAAGAAGAGAAAGCAACAAAATGTGATATTAAGTCCACAAGCAGGTATGTAGATTCACTGTACTTATTTTGCCTTAATTGTAAATCCTTAGGCGGTCAACCTTTCATTGTGACAGTAACTAATTGTCAGTGTCACTGTATAGCCACTTTTCTGCCACTAAGAATGCAGCTCTCCCTATGATTGAATTATTTTTCCCCATATGCCCGACCCCAACAACCTGTTTGAGCCAAAACTTGTCTATAATTCATATACTCTGTACAGTAGAATTAGTTTCCGTAAAAATAGTTGACAGTGTTTTGTATTTTGGGTCAACTGTCTTGTTGTAGGATTGGTTAGGAGAGAGAATGAGAGCCAGACATGTTCATGTTTGCAGCAGGTTCAGGTTCATCCATCTGTCTGTGGACTCTGGATTGCACGCTTGCTGATGTTTGGGCTAAAGTTTAGCATTTTGCTCCTGTTTTTTTCTGTTGTTTTCATTATAGTCCAAGAGCATGTTCTGTGATTGATCGTACTTGTAACCTGAAATGGTTTTGTGCAAATAAAGCAGCAAACAAAACAAATACAGCGCTCAGTTTATCAGAATGGGGCAGTTTGCCCGATTTGACATTTAGCCTCATAAGAGCAGTTTTAACATTATAAACCTGTGTCCGTGCGGGTTTTGGAATGGTTTTTGACAATTGCATTCTGGTTTGTTTTAGGTAGCTTAGCCTGCCGAAATTTGGGTCGCTCTGGTCACAGGAAGAGCCCGGTGGAATGAGCAGCAGCAGCTGTGGCTACACAAACCACAAGGTTCTACTCTTGTCCAGGCAGGCAGCAACCCAAAGTCCAGAAACCATTGAATCTGAATGGAACTGTCGGGCCAATGGGAGCCCGTTAAAAGCCAAAGCCAGGACGCCTCGACTTGAAGCCAAATAGGGCCTTTTTATGTGTTTTTTTTTTCTTTCTTCCCCTCCTAAAGCTCTCCTTGTAAGAGGAGCTTTTTAAAGCTTTCATTTTAACAAGAGAAGCCATTACGCATGCACCTCATGTCTTTGTTTACCTACACTGCCAGTCAAGTTTTTTTATACTCATTACATTACAAACAATGTCAGTGTGAAATCTCTTAGACTATGTGAGTAATTGAGAAGTGTTTGGTACAGGACTAATAGTTAATTACTTCATTTGCCATAATAAGGCATATTTTACAGACGACATACTTTATATTTGTCTTATACTTGACGCTAACACTTTTTGACACTGTATTGGCTACACTGTCCTGACAGTCTGGTGTTTGTAAGCATTGCTACAGCTGTAAGACAAGTGATAGGTTGTTGTCTTAGACCTAAAGTGACTTGAGATCATTAAGCCAAGAAGTCATTTATCAATTCAGTTACTCCTTATTTTATGATTACAAGGTTTTTAGGATGAATTTCCAGTTATATTTCTTGAGATTTATCCCCCCAAAATAGGAAAAAGGTTGCTCAAAAGCTTTTGAATGGCAGTGTACGTAATGGCCAGGATCTTATTTTTTTTATGGAATTTGTTTTAAATCCTGTTTGATTTGTCCTCTGCACTGACGTCCATCAGTCCATCTCTCCTTCAGCCTTGAGAGCAGCTCTACCTACAGTATGTCTACGTGTTTGTGTCTCTGTGTTAGAGAAACTACCCTGTAGATATTTTTTCAGGATCATAGTTTTATTTTTTGAGACTGCTGATCCACTCCTGTTTCATAGATACATGTTGCCCCCCAACTGCCTTTCTTAAGTGTGAATTGAAGGACAGTGAAACTGCTAACCCTGACCCGTATGTGTCTCCACACATGCTAGGAAGTGTTGTAACTATAGTGCAAGAACATATACTGTAGTTGAGGCAGTTTGACAAAACGTTTCATGCTTACACTCAGTGGTGAAGTTAAAAAAACAACAACAAAATATCTGGTCCAGCTGATGGTGTACACTGCTGCAAACACTGTGTTCACTTACTCTTAAACTAGAGATAATCTCAGTTAGTTCAGTGAAGAAATAAATGTATTTATTTGCCACCAAGGCTTAATTTTGTTGTATTGGTGCCACAGATTGGTAGCTGCACTGTGTGAGGGTACACGCCCTTTAATTATGTTGCTGCTAGTTAATGTCTCAAAGACCTGCTTATCATTCAACTTTGAAGATGGATTTGCTTTATTGTTGTCCTAATATGGCTGAATTTTATTAAAAGAAATGTGTTGTTGATGGTATTGTAATCCAATTTCTTGTTTTAAAGCAGCTTTGTTTTAATGCCAGCTTTATTGCATTTCTTTTGTTGGACTCAAATGGGAGGTTTAGTTTGTAATTAAGGAAACCCCGTTCATGCCAGAAAAGGTTGGCTTGCAATCCATTTTGTGTCTCAAAGAATTCATTAAACTGAACTCAAATCCAAGTGTGGAATATTTCTTTGAAAATATTTTGTTTTCAAAACAGTGTTTCCTGGGTGTTTGATTTGAACATTTTTTTCCTCTGTATTTGCTTAACACATCTGAGCTAATACAGTAGCCAGTAAACACAACAACTGCACTATTTATTAAGTATTTTATTAGGAACTAAACTCGGATTGTGTAATTAAAAGTGAGTAATAAGATAGGGATGATAAATTAGTCCACCATGGTCACTGGATGTCATGTTTTTAGTAAAATCAATACAAGAAAAAAACGTACCACAAAAAGTAGCACAGTGGATTGAAAGCGCTGGGAAAAGGTGTTGAGTGGACCTTCAGTTGTGATAAATTTTTCAAAATAATTATTTTTATATTAATTTATTATCTATTGAAAAGTTTAAGTACAACACTGTGTTGTAACATTACAAGTAGGGTACACAGCATCAGTACATTCCAGAGCCCTTGTGTGTCCTCTTAGTTTTATCCGTGATCCCATTGGCTGCCGCACCCGTCACTCATGATATTAGCCAATCATCGACAAGGAAACTGGGGAGACTACCATTGTTTTATGCGCTTGCGCAATTCAATGTTTTGATTTTTAACTGAAGCAACATGTCTGCCTCCTTGGTGCGAGCGACCGTCCGAGCGGTCAGCAAAAGAAAGATTCTGCCGACAAGAGCCGCACTGACACTGGTAGGTAATAAACTGTGGTTATAAATGAACGTTAAACATTTTTTTCCGCCTGTTCAGGAGTGTCAGCACACAAACTGCGCCCTTCATACCCGGCGTCCGTTAGCCAGTGATGCTAACGTTACGTGATCCAAAGTTAGCTAAGCTAGCTAACTGTCTGTGACTTTAACGTTGTGCGCAGTTATAAATTGGTTTCTACTTTTACGTAGCTTTCCTGTAGCATTAGTTTTAATCGTATTGGTGAGCTTGTAACGTTATTAGCCGATGTGCATACAAGGGCGTCTGTGACAGCTGTCGGTCGCAAGACGATAATTGCCCTGGGCTGAACTGATGCTATCCAATGCTAATTGCTAAGCTAAGCTGTTTGGTAACAAAATGTCATCGCCTGATCTGTTCGGTAACAGCGACAGTTACCATTAACAGTTTAACCACCATTAACAGTTTAACCACCATTAACAGTTTAACACAATACCGACAATAGTTTCAAGCCGTACACGTTAAGTTAGCCCCCCCGTCACAACTTTGAAAATATCTTTTCGTTTCTCCATCATAGAATATAACCTTTAAACCTTCTGACACTATACATCTGTTTTCCCAAACAGTGTTTCCCTCTTTGTGGCTAGTAAACTCACTTTTTATGTTGAAAATCGGTGGATCACCCATTTGATTTGCAAATAATTTATAGAAACAGTTTTTGCAGAATCGCAATACAAGGGCAGTGTGCATGAAATAAGCTCCATAGTTAAGTTAGCAGTTTACATAGTTTCTGAACCTTTTTGACATCAACAACACAAGGTTTTAGAAATAAGGGGGTGGTGTCTCAGTGAGCCAGAGGTCTTGAATATAAACCACATGATGGCTGACAAATATTTGTTATTGAGTAGAGAAACATGACACATTTGTCAACTAACTCAACAACTCTTATTTGTGACATCAATCTCTCCCGTAATCCTAAGCCTCTCTTCACTGGTAAATGTCTAATAGAGTAAACATACCAGAGAATAATCAGTAGTTAATGGAAAAGTATGAATGTAACGGTAACTGTCATGAAATACACTCTCAGTGATGCTCCAGCAGAGTCATGGTTTGTTATTATGGGCGGGATAAAAATGTCAATACCAGTTTGATGTGCTCTGCTAATGGTGCTGCTGCGAGATAACGTGTGTGTGTGTGTGTGTGTGTGTGTGTGTGTGTGTGTGTGTGTGGTGGTCTGAACTGATAAAGGTAGCAAGCTGAAGAAAATGTTCAGCAGTGTGAGGTCACTCAACACTAAGGCAACTATGATGTGTCATTAAATGGTTCTGTTGTAGTTACTGTCTTAATCTGTAAGAGGTAAAGGATGATGAGACAAAATACTGCCAAATGATGCATTAAATTTGATGTAACCTATTAATAAGCTGCAGGAGTTGTGTGTTTAGCCATTAGCCTTTATTAACTAAGATTGAAATGATTAAGTGCTGCAGTAATGAGCCCTAAAACCTGGAAATGACTTAGCATTTTTTACTTCCTGTTCCCTTGTCTCGAAATCTGTGGGTTTTCTGTATTGGTTTTGGGTTAGATGCCTGAAGGAAGGTCTGTGGTTAACACAACCATAAGACATTTTCAAATTTTGTTCTTCAACATAAATTACATGAGTAAATACACCACTTGTAAAATGTAAAAGTTTTATTTGTCTTAAAAAAGGCAGCTGCTAACAGATGGCTAAATGAGATTACAGAAGTTGTCTGGGATGTTAAATGCCATCATGCCAAACACGAACACTTTTGTTTGCCACAGAGCTTATTTTCTGCAATAATCCAAAATCCAATGGAAATATATCGTAGGCCTTTTGTCAAGGAAACCAGGATGATGCTAACTTCCAGAATGGCTTACAAAGAAAACATCGTCCCTGCAACACTCTGTGACCTAAAGGCCAAGTTATCATTTCACTTAGTTGACATTATAGTGATGAGACAACTCCAGGCTGTGACACAATTAGGGTGCACTGTACATTTGGCATCAGCAATTTAACACATAGAGATGAGCACACCGGCTTTAAAGGATTAGCACCATGTGGCTAATGTGGTGCACCTGAGTCTCCTAAATGCCAGCACACAAGAGCTCCAAACACTGTGCTCCATGTTTACTGCACCTACGCACATTCAATTACAGCACTAGCTACAGGAGTGCAGGCTATTTCATTATACTGTAGGTACTTGGTAATTTCAGACCAGATGAAGTGGTCGCTCGTGCAATAGAAACTTCAGTCATAGAAACATAAACTAGCTCCAAAGGCTGTTTCTTTACCCTCATTCATTTGCTCAGTATGTTCGAAACAGTCAGTTTTGCTAAATACACTGAATCCAATGTATAAAGTAACAGTTTTTATCTTCTGTTGTCTTTTCTTCAGACTCCAGCAGCTGTGAACAAGATCAGGTTTTTGTTGCAGGACAAGCCGGAATATGTGAGTAAATGACAAAATCAACATTCACTGAAACATCATATCATCAAACAGACAGTGCCTCTCCACATCCTGTGTAATGGCAGCAGGGTGCAATATTGTTTTCAGTCTCAGCAATTGTGTAACACCCATTTCATGCAGTGATTGGCCAGCTGTCCAGAGCTGAGAAAGTGAGCTTGGTTTGAACTTCTCCCTCTAGGTCTTTTTTCGTCTGTTACAGAACAGTTTGTGGCACTTTTCATGTGTAAAAACAGGTGCAACTCTACATACTCTACACACTTGCTTACTGTGACTGTGTGGTTATATCCATTTTTAAATAATATTACGCCCTCTCAGTGATGGCTGTTTTTTTTTTTTTTTTTTCAGTCCACCTTTGAACATGGCATTAAAAACTGATGAAACAGTCAAGTAGTGGTTGCTGAAGAGGTAAATGACACTGGATGGTAATGTCGGTCTGGCTCTTTATAGATCGGTTTGAAGGTTGGAGTGAGAACACGCGGTTGCAATGGCATGACTTACACACTGGACTACGCCACGGAAAAAGGCAAATCTGACGAGGAAGTGATGCAGGATGGTAAGCCTTGTCTTATTTTTGTGTTTTCCTTTTACTAAAAGATTTTGAACATTTGAGTGAAGACAGGCAGAACAAAGATCAAATACATCAAGGTTTTGAGCATTCATTGCTGATACTATTTTCATAAAACCGCTCGGGGGTGCTAAAGATGGAAAAGTTCAAGTTCCACACTTAGTGGCTTTAATTAAAAATATATTTTTGTGGAGTTAAAAGGCCTTTTCACACCAGGGATGACTGGAAATATCATAACAAAAATCCAAAATATTTTATAATGATTTTTTGTGTTTAAACCTTGCACAGCACGGCCTACTGTGCTAGCTTGTGCTATCTGGACAGAGAGAGCAGAAGAGTGGCTCACAGAGACAGTCCTTCAGCGCTGCATCGAGTGACAGCAACAGCTGATCGTCGACATTCGGCCTCTTTTGTAGCTATTGCTAATCACCAGCACAAGCCAGTTCAGTTGCTACACCTCATCAGATGCCGTCTTCAGATTCCTCAGCCTTCATGGTCTTTATCTAAAGCCCAGCTCAGACCAAAGATCCACGATGAGACGAGTTGAAACATGCAACTACTTGCAATGCATTGTGCAACGTTCTAAAAACCTGCCAGTTCACACCAATGCAACTAGATGAGACAGTGTATCATCTCTGTGCAACAACTCTCTGTACCTCCACTTTGTTTTCCAGCTTTTCAGGCTTAGTTTGTGGCTAAATATATTTTGTTGCTTTGTAAAATATGAATGATGATAGTGATAGTGAGATACTGGCTACAGTTGCATTTGTTGTAGTGACAAACAGGCAAAAATGTTCCAAAATGCAAATTATTGGTCTGAACTGGGCTTTATGATTTGTCTGTTTGTCAAAGAAGAACTCTATTCTGCGAGACCAAATGGATCAGTTGATCAATATCCATATTGTATGACAGTATGAACAGAATTAGAAGATAATAATTTTTGCCCACGTGATCAGTCGATCATTTTATTTCCGGGCTTTTTTTTATGAGCATTTGATAGTCTCAAAATTCAAAACAGCTGCAGGAAAAGAAACCCTGCACTGCAAAATATTAAGTTTTCAGATTCAGTGTGGATGGGCTTAAAGACATAGATTGGGTTGATTGATGTATGATTTGTCCTCATTTAGTCTGAGTAGACCATAAGAGCTGTTTTGCTGGTAACATATAAACCCAGAACATTCTGGCTGAGTATTGACATGAAGGTTAGACTTTGAGTAATAGCTCTACTGTTACTGTCTTGCAGGTGTGAGAGTGTTTATAGAGAAAAAGGCTCAGCTGACCCTTCTGGGA